CTTTTCAACTTCTCTTGGGAAGAAGAGGTGGATGACTAAAAATAACAATGCTTTGATGCAAGATGCCTGTTAAAAGCAGCAAGTACAAGCTCTGGACAGAAGCTTTTCCCAGCACTGAGGCTCATACAAGGTTCAATCAATTCTGAGATAGCTGAAACTTTCTTCCCCCTCTATTAATAAACACAAATGTGTGGAAAATTACCCTAATCTTCTTCCAAAGAGGATGTGCCTCCAGAATCACTTCCAGAACCAGGGACCTCAGAATTCTGCTGCCATATTTAGATGCGATAAAAACAGTCCTTGAATTTCTGACCGAAATCCAAATATAGTCTATTTCTTTCTGCCAACTGAAAATGTACCTTTTTATTTCATTCAGTTTTGTTTAAATTGAACTTTGTTCCAAACTTTTCATTCTATAAATGTCTCTTTCACTATAATTATTTAAATAAAGTGGGAAAGTGCCCAATTTAGTGAACTGAATTAGTATGCTGCTTAATGTGCCTGCTACTGTCATTCTATTAGGGCTTGTGCTCTGTTTCTATTAAGGCTTCTCCCTGATTTCAGCAAGATTTACACAGGAGCTGAACCCAGCCTGTGGAGGGCAGTTTACCACAGGCAGTTGTATTTGACAAATTTGAAGTAGACATAATAGCTGTTTCTATGTTATTTATCAAAGTCTTCACAGCGGTAGGAATACAATGATTGCTACTTGTCCAGACATTGGCTTTATGGCTAGAAACTGGCTGTGCATCTCAGTGATACCCTGGGACATCTTAGTCTACCTGTCTTGTGTATTGTGTGCCAGGCCCTGGTTTCCCAAGCATTCAGCTGATCTCCAACTTGGCAGTATGACAGCTTTTGTCTGTGATGGGCACCTCTCTTTGAGAAGTGGGAAACACAGAGCTCAGAGTATTTCAAGAAACAGAAGAGACCATGCAGCAGTCTGGGAGACATTACTGTGGTATTAACCTCAGCTAACTAGGTGTCTGCACTATAGGTGTCCACACAGAGCTGGTTGTTTAGGCTCCTTTTAGAGTCAGTGGAGAGAAACAAGAAACACTGAGATACTCTGGATATCTCCTTTGAGACAAGGCAAAGCTTCCCCTAGAAGTGCCTGTTTCTCTTAAGTAAACTTAGTGGCAATTTGAGTAACTCAAGTATAGCCCTTATTATGTAGGTGTCACGGGTAGGTGAGAGGATCCTCTCTTTCTTGTGTGGGACCTTGACAGGTAGAGACCATTCCAGGTATTACATGTATATTCCTTATCCAGAATCTTTTTTCCTTCTTGTTTCCTTCTTTTTATCTCCTCTGAAGAGTAATTTTTTTTGTCCTCCTCCACTCACCTTTCCTGTTTCTTTTCTTCCGTTGCTTACCTTTTCATTCATAGTCTATTTTTCTTCTGCACTTGGGTGCTTTGAGATGATGATGAAGCTATAGAAATGGGTGTGGTAATCAAAATTAAGGAATTCCTTGAAAATCTTTACTCATTTCTTGAGGGCTAAAGGTGGAAAGCAGGCCAGTCAACTGGCCAGACTCATTTGACTGCCCTTGCTAAACGCTCTCTTCTTGCTCCAACTGTCTCACCTACTTTCAGTTCCTTGACCTGAGATACCAGATGCAGCTGGTCATCCAACCTGTAATGTCGAGAAGTGGCTGTGCACAGCAGTGAGACTGGTGTTATCCAGTGGATCTTGTGCTCACAGAGCCTACTCCAGGCAATCCTCTGTGCTCCTTGGAGCCTCTCATCCAGTGCCAGGAGTCTCATGCGCTGGGACATTCATGGTGCAGTGATAATACAGATAAGTGCTTTAGGGGCTGTGTGTTGCCAGAAGAGGGTTGTGGTGCCATTTTCTTCCCCTGCCTCCGTGGCTGTGGAACCCTGCCACTCCCATGTGCCACTGGCACTTGCCTGACCTCAGGTGAGTCAGCTGAGGGATGGACCGGCAGAAAATCGCACTAGAAATGAACAAGTTTTCTTGTGAGGGAAAGAAGAAAGGTGGCAGTTTCTGTTCTTTGTTCTCTTTGAAACTGCAGGCTTTTAGGTACAGCAGCCTGTGCTCTGAGTACAGTATACAAGCAGTAGATAACGTCTTTAAAACGTCTGTGAAGAGGTAGTACACAACGATCCAGTCCAGCTCCCTCAGAAATTTCCTGTTGGCTTCAGTAGCTCAGGATTTAAAGCTGTTTACTTGCTGCTGTGTTTCTATAGTGCTGTCAATATTCTCTTGCTTATTCTGCATGGTCAAAGACAAAGATACTGTAAATATTTCAGTATAACATTAAAACCAGGGTGCTCCTTGCACTAGAAAGCACTTATACAGCTATGCTTTATGTATTTCTATTACACCAGGCTGCACCCTGCTCCCCGCGCACGCTACCAAAATTCAGGAGTGATTCCCAAAACACCTGTAGGTCAGCTCTGTGGATCCATCCATCAAAGGAATGGGGAGGGAGTAAAAGTCTCCAATATCTTTTGCTTTGTACTCCTGCAGACTTTGAGGGAGAAACTCAGTATGGCCTCCCTGAGGGCTTTGGGTGTCCTGACCTGCATGAAGGGGAAGCCAGATTGTGTCACTGTCCTTGTAGCTGTAGCCAGGTCCTGTTAGGCGAGAAGGGGTGACTAGTTTAAGGTATTTGGCCAAAGCCCCTTCACTTGTCCCCAGTAGACCTGATCCTGCCTGACAGCTGAGGCACAGCATTCCCAGCTCACTGTTGCAGTTGCTTCTCATTAGAGAATTCACTGGATTACTTGTTGGAAATGAGCTAGGAGTGTAATCCCAGTGAATTTGTTCAGAAATGCAAATCAATATTCACAGCAGGTTTGTTGTTTCTTTGGGGGGGGGGGTAGTAACATTTGTTCAACTGTATTCCTTACACTTGAGCTATAAAAAGAAGCAAATTAAGGCTCAACATGAAGCTACATAACATAAAATCGAAAAGTGACAGCAGAAATGTTTCGGTATCCACCCACCACTGTCACAAAAGAATGAAGAATAGTGTCTTGCTTGTTCCAGAAAGACTATCATAGTGATACAGCTTAGCAAGCCATAAAGTCCAGTCCTCCTTACAGCCCTTTACAGTTTTGCAAGTTCTTGTGCTTATGTGCAGCTGTGAGCCAGTCTGCCAGTGATTCACGTGATGCTGGAGCTGGGCATGCAGGGGTGGACAGCATCCTCCACCTGGACAGTCTGTCCTGGACTCAGTTCCATTTCTGGAGTATCTGGGATTTTTCATTCCTTACTATTATAAAATCAATTTCCATATGATCAATATATTTTGTCAATCAGTTATTTTTCCTAGCTCTAACCATGTGATACCTCTCAGAAGAGAGGTATCTTATTTCATTTCATGAAACTGAAATGTCAATCCCGTTAATTTTTACGAGTTAGTCTTGTTTCATTAGCACAGGGATATGACCTATCCCAAAGTCTTTGAAAGTAAGTTGATTATTCACGCACACAGTGCCATTTGTCTTCATTTCCTGTACCAAAACCAGAGGACAACATTACTGTGTATCAATTCCTGCCTTGTATTGCTCTCTGCCTCTGAGGTGGGTTTCAAGTCAATATTTTAACTCTGTTCTAATTTAGAAATGGTCCCAGGAGTAGTTATAGATGCTATATGACACATTCAATCCACCCTTGCTATTCCTTAAGGGTCAACCTAGTGGACACTGAAGGCACCTGGAAGTCACTGCAGTTTGCTTTGCATCAGGTTAAGACCTTGGCTGCACCTGAACTGCTGCAGCTATAGCTTGCTTGGGTTCCTCCCAATACAGAAAGACCTTTAGAAGCTGTATGGAAAAACATAAATGAATCAAAGATTGTCTTCTGTAGGAGCAGATGTTTTTGTAGTGATGAACCAAATGGTGAGAATTTGCACCCAAGCAGAGATTGCTTGTCTGGAAATGCCTGTTAGAGATTTGGTCTAGTCAGGAGCAACCTGAAATGTGTAGTGCTGCTTTGCTTGCACAACTGCTTGTTCAAACACATCTCAGGCTGCTGATAAAGTTCTGCAGTTTCTTGCCACACTGACCAAAAAAGTAGAGCTGAGTTGGAGTTCTTCTAAATTAATAACTTGCTAAAACAAAAGTTAATGAAGTTCATAACAATTGAATCTCTCATTTTTTGAGTAAACCTACTTTCATATTTGGGATATCCTGGCTTGAGAGCCTCTTCTGTCAGAAAACAAAAGATCTATATACACATATAATTTTTTTCATAATATTAAAATAAATTAGACATTTTTTATTATTATTATAATTTTGCATTAGATAACTTTTTCTTTTTTTTCACAGTCATGAGGAAAAGCATCCTGGGATGGAATTCTAGGAAAAGTCAAAAGCTGGTAAGTCAAATGCTCTGTTACTGCACCAAACAGAGGGGAAGTAGCAGAAGGAGAAGCCTCTGATGGTGCCATTCACTAAAAGAAAAGTAACTCAAAACCTCACAACATAGTAAATTAACTGTTAGGTACATCTGACTTGCTGATTGTATCTGTACTGTGGTCTGGGCCAAAAAAAACCCACTACACCATGTTTGTCCTCCTGTGATTACTTCTGAAGCACTTCAGTACTGTCACATCCCCCTGGCTTTGCTGTTTTCATTACTCCTGACAGAACGTTTGGGTAAATGCAAGAAGAGAGAGGGATAGCATAGCAGTTTGACAGCTCTAATTATGAATATTTAAGAGCTGCTTAAATGCGCTCTCTTTTATCACCTAATTTCCTATCAATGACAGCACTGGAAGCACTTGTCTCATTTTTCAAATCAAAGCTTCCTCAAGCAAAATGCTTGGCGACTGAATAGCTTATGCATTCTATTAATCACAGAGGGTGGGAAAAGATCCATCAAGTGCTTCAGATACTTTGAGAGTGCTCCATCCTTGTAGAGCTTTCACTTCCCATTTCTCACAGATGAGTGCATTTGCCTCCTGTGAATGATCTTTGTTATTCTTCCAGAATGGTTTCAGATCTATCTTCCTTCAACAGTACGTCAAATGATGCCTGAATATTTATAAAAAGAGTAAATTCTAATTGGGGTTAGTCATGGATAAGAGGAAAGAGTAGTCATATGTTGTTTTGTTAAAGGAGGATAGCTCTCATTCTGCCTTGAGCGGGTCAAGTTTTATTGAGGAAGTGTTACAGTTTATGTGGAAAAGAGTAACTGCTCCAACTTTGAAATTAACTTTCTTGTTTTGAGCCAGAAACAATATTGTTGCCTGATGTTTATTCTGTGATTACTGTTACTTTCTGTACTTAAGATTGACTTAAGGCCATGACAGCAAAATGATCCCAATTAATTTTATTGGAGTTTTGTTCTTTATGCATATACTGAAGTGTCATCTTCTTGCTAGATAACATTAACCAGACTCTTCCCAACAATTCAATTTAAATTATGCAGGATGAGATTAACTGCTGAAGCTGGAGAAGGGGAATATCTTCAGAGATGTGCACACCACGCCTGGTAATAGCTAGGCATGGCCCTCCACCTCCTGGGGGACTTATGACGGCTGAACAGTATGATAACTTCCCCAACTTTATGAAGGAGTCTGTGACTTCAGCACTTGTTCCCTCCTGTTTTGTCATTACAACTTGTGAATTTACATTCCATATGTTACTGAAAGATGACATGAAATGAAACCAGTCAGTACTTCACTGAGCAACATCTTGTGGTATTTCTGCTATTACTAGAGGGGAATATCATTCCTCCTGGTTTCATCAAAATTAGGAAGTTTGATGGTACAGCAAGGAGATCTCCAGACTGGAGATGTGTGGGATTCAGCAGAGTGATGTGTTTCTTTGTTAGAAAAGAGCTGGGGAGAGGAAGGTTTAGATAGGGAAGCAGAGTGAAAAAAGTAGCTGAAAAGAAATGGTTTGGAAAATGAAGATCGAGTTCAAAACCCCTTCATGTACATAGACATGGCTGGATAAAAATGTCCGTGAGCTCAGAACTGCCTAGTCCCACAACTCCCACTGAAATGAGTAAGATCTGCATCCAGTCACCTAAGAGTGAACCTCTTACCAAAGACACCCACAGCTGAAAATGTTGGAGTTTTGTTTTCAGAAAGTGTTGTTTTACATCCCATATTTAGTCTGCATCTTCATGGGTCTAAACTTAGAAATATTTTGGTCCAGCTGCTGAGCTAGAGGGAGCTACCGAAAAATAAAGCTACAAACCTTTTAAATAGAGTTCTGCTATTGTTTCAAACACTTACACCATTGATTATACTTCTAGTTTTCCAGAAAAATCACATTTTGCCCTCTGAATGATTGTTTTAATTTGCTTCTGACACGCAGTCAGTTTTCATAACCCAACAATTTGTTTCTCACCATTTCTTACTGTGTAAGGGAGAATCTGTGTACCATTTTATACTCACATTGCTGTGTGCATTGTTGTTAATACATTCCTTCAGACTGTCTTTAAAAGCACCTTGAAACAGAGCTACAGCTTTAATTATGTAAGGCTTTTGTTGGTTTTGTTGAGGAAAGGAAGACCAGCTAACAAAGAAAAACAGGATACCCTTTGTTGGAAGGACAAACTCTGTCCTGAAACAACTCCTGGGATTGTGGATTTCCCACTGAGTGACAGGTGAGACTAGAAAGAGGGCAGGTTGCCGCCAAATGCTGAATTTGGCCTCAAAGAGAGGAGACAATCCTAACTGCACTTTATGGATTGACAGAAATTAATAGACACCCTGTGCATTTGGCTGTGAGGGAGAGTATGAGGCTGCTTTCATTTTTCAGTCAAAATTATTAGATTTTGTTAATTGAAATGATTAGGACCCAAGGCATATTCACTGTGCTGTTCAACCCAGTGTAAATGAGCTCACCAAATCATGTGCTCTGCATAGAGTTTAAAGTGGGTCAGAAATAAATGGAATCATTGACCTTTTCCAGTAGATTTCCCTGGGGCAAAGCAGAATGTGCCATGTGCCGAGTAATCTATTTACTTTTTACAAGGTTCTCTTTCCTGCAGAGGTTTTCAGCAGTCTCCAAACTTTGGTGCCTGAATCCTTTGGTGCTCATGAGGCAGCCTTGAAGCACTTGGAATACCCTACTGACACAACGCAACTGGCGCTCCTCCAGACCCAGTGAGTGAAATAAGCACAGGCTCACAGAACAGCTGAGGTTGGAAGGGATATCTGTACGTCATCTAGTCCGACCCCCAGCTCAAGAAGGTCCACCCTAGACCACATTACCCAGGACCATATCCAGCTGGCTTTTTAATATCTTCAAGGATGGAGACTCCACAACCTTGCTGGGCAACCTGTGCCAGTGCTTGGTCATCCTCACAGTGAAAAAGTGTTTCCTGATGTTCAGAGGGAACCCCCTCCCGTTTCAGTTTATGCCCATTACCTCTGGTCCTGGCACTGGCACCACTGAAAAGAGCCTGGCTCCGTCCTCATTCTGTCCTCCACCTTTACATCAATCCATGCCAAAAGACTGAGTTGCTGTATTAATCACCTTAACAAACTTCCAGGCTTGATTAGTGGGGTTGTGTGATGCAGGGAGCAGGAAGAAATATTTCAATAGGCTTTTGATGAGTTGATGTATAAAGAAGCAAATGAATTATGTAATTTTTACGCATTTTTCACTGGAATCCATAGTTACTTGGGGTGTAAGAACAAGAACAAAGAACTTTGATACCACAATCCTCTGTGCCAATTAATGTTTGTGGTTTATATCAGGCAGCCATTTGATGAAATAAATAATAGCTGATGCAGAAACTGAAGTGCTGATTTCTCCTCTCTCAGATGAGTGCTCTACACATCTGATTAGATGCTCTCATATATTCTTTCTGTCTACGGTTTCTTCTCTCTGCCTTCAGAGAGGGCTCTGGAGGAGTGGTATGTAAGGCTTAGAGCAGGTCACTGAGCCCAGGTCTCCAACCTGTTGACTGTTGCTTTGACTAAATTATTGGATTAAAATGAGAAAATTGGTCCTTTTTGCTGCTTTTCTGTGGGCCCTTATGTATTAGAGCACACACAGCTTTGCTCCTTCAAACATTCAAGTGCTGCAGATAAAACAGCTTCTACAAAGATCCTGAGTGGGTACAGACAGAAACTGAGGAGCTAGGAGTTGGTGTTGCCAGGGCTGAGAAGACACAGGTGCAGAGCTTTACACTGTAGGTGTACTTGCAGTGTAGCTGTCCTCAGTGAGTCCTTGCACTAGGAACTTGTACTAGGCTGTGGACTTTAATCAGTGTCCCTTTGCATAGCCACATACCTAAACACAAAGGGTGGGGGATATCTCATTAAACTTTAGCTGGTTGTTAGATAGCTATCCTCTCTCATCAATCATCTAGGTTCCTCTATACAGAGGGAGGAACACACATTTAAAAGAGAGATTTCTCCAACTTACCTAAATGAGCTGAACTGCCTCTGGAGCTGCTTCTCTCTCAGCACTGCTAAGGAAGGGAACCCTGGCAGTTGGCTCAGACAGGACCCCTGGAGTGGGATTTAGCTGGAGATTACAACTAGGTGTCTACAAGTAGGACTGTCCGTGGTGTGGAATGGTGTCTGAATTCCCGTATACAGTCACTGAAATTCTTTAGATAATCTAATGCACTTACTCAGGGCTGGCAGATAGGCCATAGGAGATATCAGCCCTTCTGAAGCAGCAGAGAGATGTCAGGAGGGGTACACTGGGACATCCCAAAAGCACAAAATATCTATTTGACAGAGAAATCAATTATTCAGTGCAGATAATGAGCTTGCTTCCAGGGACCTGTGCAAGTCCCTCTGACTCAGTGGGGTGCAGCTCTTCCATCACTTGGGAGCTCTTTTGCTTTGTCTCTAACAGAGCTCCAGTGCAGGGGTGCCTCTGCATCACCACGCAGCTCCCTGAGCCTGATCTTGGCTTCTTGATTTGGCTTTCTGGCCTCAGGTCTGCCTTGCCACTACAGACTCTTGGGGCTTTCAGCTAATTCTGCTCAGCTCTGCTCACACAGATGCTCCAGGACTGTCCAGTGTCAGTGAGGACACAACTTTGCCTGCCTTGCTGCCACCCTCAGCTTTTAGCTCCTCTTCCAAAGCAGAACCGCTCCTGCTGCTCCCTGAAGCTCAAGGTAGTGATTTAGCCCACTAAAAAGTAAACAGCTTCTGTCTGGGCAGCTCTTTATGTCCCCTGACTGTATTGACTAGAGCTCCACTGACAATGATGGGAGCTTAGACACGTCTCCCATGGCAACATCTGTCATAGCTAAATTTAGATGCTTAAACTGAAGAGGAATTTCAGTTTTATGACATAGACAGTCAAGGCTCAGTTCAGTTTCCCTGGAATAGGCATTCAGACATGGCCCAGCCCATGGCAAGGCTGCAGGTGTACTGCAGGAGTAGTGGGAAATCTGTGCCTTACTGGAGCAGTGCTGGAGGCCAGGTGGCAGAGCCTAAGGGACCTTGTATGGCACTGCCTAAGGGATCTTGTGTGGCACCAGGCACTCATGTTCAGGCAGCTGGATTCTACTCTTAAGATCAGTTGAGGTGAATATCCCACAAGGGGCCTGAGACTTTTGCCTTGAACCTGTATGTTTTTCTATGCAATCTGAACATAAAATGCCATTGTACACCCTGACTGTGTACAGGCTGGCTGTGTGGGGCCAGACAGGGGTGCACCAGCCAGGAACCCACCGCCCCAGTAGAGGATCCTCAACTCATGGACAGGTTGAGGCTGGGATGGGATGTCAGTCCATGGGAGGGGATCAGGATCAGGAGCAATGAGGGGAACAGAGGTGAGACACAGACCATGATGGCCAGGTTTGGTTCCAGCCATGTCATCCTATGGGCACAGGGATGGGGGATGCCCTCATCTGTGCCAGCACTGCACTGCTCTGAGCCTGATGTCCAGTTCCTGGAGTAGGGGATGCATATGGGGCCCTGCTACTGTCACTGCGGCTCCCTGTAGCTCTGCAACTCTTTCTGCAAACACCAGTGTGTGCCCCTTGCCCCCTTTGAAATATCTGAGAAGCAAATACCTGCCTCAAAAATGCACCTGCTAGTCCTTTTGAATTCAATAAAGAGCAGAGCAGATTCGTAGAATGTGCTTTCTCAAATGATGAACTTACTTCAGGTACACTCCTTGTTATTGACATAAGTGACAGTAAGTTATAAGGACATGGAATTATTTTATACCTTCTGTGTTTGTAAAGCAGTGCTAAAAATCTTAATTCTGGTTTTATATGCAGAAGGAGTGTAAACCCCACCATCAGACTGAAGAACTTTTGTTGCATGTTTCTGCATCATTACTGAGGTTTTGCAACAGTTTTCTGTATGAAGACGTTCCTAAAATAACTGTATGGTTCCTGCATCTTGTCCATAGCTGTATCAGGAGAGGCGTAGGAGGTGTCAACAAAACCACTAGGTGAATTTGAATATCTAATTGGTGTAGTGGGAGCTTTGTTAATTATTTGCAAGAATGTAACTATTCTAAAATGTGTTTAAGATACAGCTTCCATGTTTAATTCTTGTTGTGATCTTCTGTTGCAGACAAAATGATGGCACTGAGGAAATTACCAGGCCACCCACCAAAGGCACTTGCTCTCCCATGAGTGGATCATTTTCTCATTCTTGTATATAAAACAAAATGTTGCTTTTACTTTTATATTGAAACATTCCTCTGCCTCAGGATCCTGCTGTCCTTCTTCTTCTTGGAAAAGGAAACAAAAGAATTCTTCAATATAATTAAACAAATAAGACAAATGAATCAAAATATTGGGGTATTTGGGGAGGAGATCATTTCAGTATTTCATGTAGGTGTATAAACCTTAAGCTGTATTTGTCTTTCAATTTTCCTTCAAGATATAGGTTCTAAAAGGTAACTTGACCTTTAGCTCTTCTTCAGACTCGGGCAGTTATGGTAACAGCCAACGTTTTGTAAGAAACACAAGTTCATTTTTGTGGTTTTAGGTCAGCAAAAAAGTGATAAAAAATTTCATTGTTAACTTTTCATTTCCCAATGAATGGATTTTTGAGAAATGATTCAACTATACTAGGATTTTTCCTGTGTTTTTAATAGTTTTAACAGAATTTTCCATAATGAAGATATTGCAATATCTTTTGAACTTACTTGACTCTAACTGCACCAGAACTGGTGTGCAGTGATCTATATTAGTGTTTTCTGGAAGAGACCATTTTTGATCCTCTTGTTTGTTTGTTTTTCATAACTGCTTGGTTAAGTGGGACTTTTCCATGTTGGTATTTTCTGCAGTTTGGGTCTGAGGCTTCATTTAGGCTTCATTTAGCTTCAGCTTTTGGGATGATGGCCATGTGAGGGAAGTAAATAGGCTGAAGAGAAATGTAACTGTGCACAGAGCAGGGTTCATATTTAAATATGACATTTCTCTTGCTGTAGTAAAAAATATTACATGGAGTTAAAGCTGTTTGATAGGAGTGAGCCTCCTGCATCACCTAATTAGTCTCTATAATCTCCTGCTCTTTAGATGCTGACTCTGTCATGGCTTATGCTTGTAGTTGTTGCAAGACCAGATGAAAAATTGAAGAATGGAAGGAATGCACAAAGAAACACTGCACTCTTCCCCTAGAGAGTATATATCATAGAAGCAGCTTTTGATTGTATTGTCCCATTGCTCATGTTGAGACCAATATCTAAAAATAGAAATCTCATTAATAAAGATAAATAAGTGGCATGTTTAACACAATCAAATTAAATGTATAAGTCTCAAGCAAAGATCCTCTTAACAGTGTTAATTCATTAAACTACAGGTGGTCTCACCATGAGGGCATTATATCATAGTGTCACTCATTAATAATCTTTTCCTGTCACTTCTGAATTAAATAATTTATAGAGATCCTGTGCATTTCCTCTGCCGATTAACCAACTTACTGCAGGAGGTACAAGTCATGAATATTATCAAGCCTGAAGTGATTTCTGATTTACCTGAGTTGCATCCTCTTCTTTCTTTTCATGTGTCCTATTGCCTTGCCAATAAACTACAGCTGGTAATAGGCTTAATAATACATACTTAGGTTTAGACCACACAGACATTTTCATTTTAAAATATAAAAGTTTTCAGAATAAGCTCTTTCTTCATGTAGCTGCCAAATTCCACGAGTAGGATATCAGGCAGGTATAAACCTAAGAAACTGCTATTTAAGCCAGTAGATCAATGACAGCTTATTCCTGCTGAGTGGCTGTGCTCAGCTTACAGCTGCAGGCACAACCACAGCATGAGAGCAGGAAGTGAGGTGTTGATGGGGCAATTTTTTATTTGAAAGATCAACTGTGTTTGTAACAGCCCTAAAATCACACCCTGCTCAAGCTGATGGATGTAAAACAGTTTGGAGTTCTAGGGTGAAGTCAATGGCAAAACTTCTGTAGGTTTCACCCATGACCTATTCACTGAATTGTGGTTTGGATGCTGCCAGCCATTGTTCTGCTTCTCTTCTCCCAGCTCTTTGCTCCATTCCCACTTCCATGAGCAGCTGGCTCCCATTTATCTTGCCATAGCTTCCTCATACCACTTTGAGACTCACTGTCTGAAGGTCTAAATGAACTTCATAGCAGGTACTGATAAAAAACAACCCATTTTTATATTCAGATAGGTTCCTTATACCTTCATTTTCCCTGGCCTGAATTTTGGCCTCTGCATTTCAGATGGGAAATTGCTACTTCTTTAGAATTATAGAATCATAGAATAGTTAGGGTTGGAAAGGACCTTAAGATCATCAAGTTCTAACCCCCCTGCCGTGGGCAGGGACACCTCACACTAAACCGTATCACCCAAGGCTCTGTCCAACCTGGCCTTGAACACTACCAAGGATGGAGCATTCACAGCTTCCTTGGGCAACCCATTCCAGTGCCTCACCACCCTTACAGTAAAGAACTTCCTCCTTATATCCAGTCTGAACTTTCCTTGTTTAAGTTTTAACCCATTACCCCTTGTCCTATCACTACAGTCCCTAGTGAACAGTTCCTCTCCAGCATCCTTGTAGGCCCCCTTCAGATACTGGGAGGCTGCTATGAGGACTTTAGACTACAGAAAGTCTGTCTTCATTGGCAAATCCTGTGGCCTGATAGCAGCAGACCTTTGGATTGAAATGATATGTGCTCAGGACCCAGTATCCACCCCATAAACCTTTCAGGGCATTTCACTTTGGACAACCTTTCATGGGCAGGGACCTCCTTTACATTAGAACTGTATGTCCCCTTAATAATTTAACTTTGCAGGAGTGCAACCCATGCACTGCAGGACCACTCCACAGAATTAAGCAAACCATGGCAAGTGGTGGACAGACAGGGAATTTGCTGCTGATCCAAACACTAATAGATGGACTTGTGCTGATTCAGGGGAGGAAGATGTCTCCAACAGTGACAACGTGTTGGCTCCTGGCAGTCCAGAAAACCAACTACAGAAAAAACTGCATTCAGCCTCTACAGCCTGAGCTGGTGGTACCTGGTCCCACAACATCTTTAGAGAATTTAGGTATCAAATACCAACAAATCCAGTCGGGACCATGTAAATAAAGATCCTTCAGGCTTTGTAAATGCATCAGAGAACTGTCTCTGACATGAGGACAAAATTTCTGCTCCAAGCCAGGGTTCTTGAGTTTCTCAATGTGTAATTTCTTTCAACTTGAAATACTGTTTCGAAACAATAACCTTTCCCTAGTGTGTTTTTCTCATAAACACCCAAAACATACCCACTGAATTCAGGAAAAAACTCAGTGTAAAGCAGGAACCTGTGAAAAATGTGAGTAGAAAATTGAAGTCTGATGAAGAGGTAAGCATTTATAAGGTCTTACAAGAGATTCCTGGGAAACACCCTGTGGAAACCACCCCATTAGATGTCTCCATTTGGAGTCTGAACTTCCTATTGATTCACAGTATAACCTGGCACTCTGTGATGAAAAAGTACAGTACTACCTAATCTTCTATCTTAACTGTCACCTCCTTCATACATATTTTAAAGCTTGTAATATTGGTATGTCCAGAAGTTCACACATGAAGACTTGGATGTGGAAGAGGATGCATGCAGTTTTCTGAAACTTGGTGAGAAATACCCTCCCATCAAAGAAACCAAAGAAGTCAAATCAGACTGCATCAGACTCCCCAGTCACTCATGGCTCTTCTTTGCTGGTGCGCAAAGGATAAGAAATCATGGAGCTTGTGGTGTTATATTTAACACCCCCCCCCCCCGAAATAACATAGAAACGGTGGTGTTTGTAGTTAGCTTTGAAATAATGAATGTTAATAAATATCAGTATGACTGTAGAAATCCCACCACCTTGTTTTAAACTGTATGTTGCCTAATGAATCGTGTAGTCTTGTGGTGTATGGAGACCCACAGAAGGGGCTGTGTTCTGACAGCTTGCCTGCTATTCCAGTTCTCATTAGCTCATCTCATGAGAGTTTTATTTTGCTGCCTGTCAGGGCCCCGAGCATATTGCTTGCTCCAGTGCTGGCTGCCAGGTTTGGAGCAGCTCAGGGCTGGTGCAACTGAGAGTGGCCCCTTGCCCCACAGTCATGGGGTTGATGTGGTCAGAACTGATCCCAACCATCCTGGGCATGACTGACTCAGTTTAGCCTCACTGGGCCTGATCATGACCACCACGCGTTAGCAAACATCCCATCCCAGCCTCAGCCTATCCCCAGGGAGGTGCCTGATGCCCAGAGCTGGGGCTGCCCGGTTCCCCTGACTGCACTGCTCCTGTCTGGGGTGGGATGGGGTTGGTTGCCAGTGCCTGTCCTGCTGCCCCAGGGCATCGCCACTGCTCCCCAGGGAGCCCCCAGCCTCTGCCAGTGCCGTGGCACTCCCCAGCTGGCATCGCTCATGTGAACTACATCAGAGATACGCAGGAGCGGGACTACGTACATGAGCTTCTGGCCCACTTGCGTCTTTAGGAGGAGACTGAATACAAGTGACACACTATAATTAGGCAGCCTGGGCACTCTGGGCCTCCCTTTCTCCCTGCCAGACCTGCTCAGCTTTGCAGAGAGACCCCGAGCTACCACTGTCAAACTCATGAGGCCACTTGTGACTGAAAGGAGATGGGGAAAGATCATCCCTGTCACCTCTTTATCAACAGCGATGACACATTGGAGGAAACTGCCACCATCTCCAGCGAGGTAGCAAAAGAGCCATGAATTATTTATTAGTTCAATTAGTTGACATGGGCAAAGAGTGGTGAGGGCTGTAAAATAATTGCTTATTGATTTGCCTTTTCTTCCTCAAACTGCTTCACGATTTTGGTATGAGACAACAAAAGCACAAGGGTTTGGGAGCCTGCTTGCTATCGTTTCTAGTTACAGTGGAGCTGGCATTACACATAATGAGGCTTCAGCTCTGGACATGTCCAAATATTGGTGGTGGCACAACAGATAGAATAACTTTATTTGCTACAGCACAGATGCTGTTACCCCATTATTTTCCACAGACATGTTAAGCAACAATCGATAACTGTCTGCTTATGGCATTTGGAGATCTCTGGGGACTACTTATGACACTCATTTGTTTTTCACACTTGCCATTAAATCGTATTCAAAATGCCCCAGACCTTCAAAGGTGGCTACTTCTGGGTATCTTTTGTGCATATTAAAGGAGGGCTAATTTTGGAGCATATTAATACTGTTAAAAAAAACAATCCACCCAGCTTCAGGAAATGACAGACTCTGACACCCTTATGAAGAAGGCGGCAGCGCTGCCAGCATGTTTTTAGATCATACAGAATTCTCCACAGCTTCAGTACACTTCCACAGTTACTCCATTTTTGTTGCTACATTGGTAATTAGCAATGTTGGTTACAGTTTGTAGCAGTGCCTGTCTCGGGAGGTCATCAGATAGGACACAGTCTGAGAGTGGTGCCTGCTACATGCTTGTGGTGGTGTAGCTGTCGCAAATACTCTGTTGCTGAAATGTCACCGTAGGTCTCTGATCGTGCCTATGGGAGCTCTTCACAGAACCCCTCAGTTAACTGTTCTGAAATTCACAGTAAATTGCCCAACAAATACAGGCCAAACGAAGAGCCATTTCAAGTAAATCAGAAGTTTAATAACATTACTGGAAACGAACAAATCACCTTCTAATCCTGGTGGAAACTCATATCCTAGGCGAATGGTGTGACTAAGAATTTGTATCATGGCTCAGGACTTCTTGCATTTTGAAGCACAACAGTTCTTGCATTTTTTACTGTTGTCAAACTGCAAGTTAAAACATGACATATATATATATACTGTCATTAGTCATCACAGTCTGTGGTCAGGAAAATGTCAGGTCTACTCAAAATCATTTTGATGACATTTCTATCATAGGAGTGGCTCACAGTGGACAAATGCAGATGTAACGAGCACTGACATTTAAACCTTGAATGAAAGTTACAGGTTTGAAGAGAGGAGCCAGGTTTCCTGTAGCTGGTGACTACCATATATTTGACCGCATATTTGCTGGTTACTCAAACTCCTGTGTTCAGGTAACACAGGACCATTGTTTTTTCTGTACTGGCCAGTGAAGTGGCCTGATCAGATTCAGCAACTGGCTTGAGTAAGAGCCAGCAGGGTGGATTCTCCCTGCTGGTTTTACAGCACCAACAGTGTCATTTTTTGTGGTGCTGTTGTGGTGCACAGGACAAGTGACCTCCTTGTACCCAGCACTGGCACACTAACCACTAGCCACTGCCAACAACATGAAAACCAAGCTTAGGATCTTCTGTGGCTGACTGATCGTAGCTAGCAGCAAAGCCTCCACCCAGCCACTCACTCTGCCAGGGAGAGTGGGATCAGGGAGAGTGGGA